GACTATATCCTTCTCACCCCTCATTCTATCTGGGTACCAATCCTTTGGCTTTGTAAACCGTTTCTTAATTCTGGTCTAATGCCTTGGACTTGATACCTTAATTCAACCATTCCTACCATGGTTCTCTAATGAAGTTAGGTTGTCACCAGTTCTAGTCATTTAAAGTGAAATACCCTTCCTGTGACCTAAGGTCTCCTTCCATTCCCTCACCCCACAGACAGAAGTCCCAGACTTCTGCCAAACCTATTCCAGCTCTCTGAAACCCTTGATCCACAGCAGTTAGAAGACAGCCTTGTTTCTTGGCTACCACAGGCCTAGGGCAACTATGGCTCCTTTTGAAAACCAATACATGGACATTCTGTTCTGTAAGTTATTATCACTATGGATGACTACATGAATCACTATTCTAGGGCATACTTGTGATTTCACCAAGACACAGCCACATAATGAGGCTTAGTCCGAAAAGTCCAGCCGGGTAGCCTTACTATTATGGGAGAAATTTAGGGGGTTGGAGGCAAAACTCTAAGCAAAAGGGCAGAAGAAACTGAAGCTATGAAATGTATGACATACAAACTAAACTAGAATGATAGTGAGAACATTCCTCTCAGTATTAAACTTCTTTCCTAGCTATTTGGATGTTGATCATGATTCTTGTTCCTTATCTTGGGAAGTGTTTGTATTTTAACAGATACCTCTGAAGTCTTAATCCAAATGAGTGATAATGTGGGGCATAGGTACAATGGCAGGCAGAAGTTTCAAAGTAGAATGCCTAACAGAACATCTCAACCAAGAATGTGAAAGCAACTGCTTACTCTATTTAAAAGGCTACATTCCTGCAGGTCTAGAAACAAAAGATATAAACATATCTCCATAGTCAAAAGACAAGGTGTTAAGACTTCTTTCTCAGCAGGGGATAAACAGCAATAAAACAATTTCATTTGAAATCAAGGGTTCCTATACTTGACTGGCAAGTTTGTACTTTGAGACATTTTATGTGTCCTGAATAAACATGTATGTTATGAAATGAATTGTGTGCCTCCAAAATTCATATGTTGAGGCCTTAACCCCACTGTGATGGTATTTGGAGGCAGAGCTTTGGGGAAGTAATTAGGTTTAGAAGAGTTTATGAGATTGGGGCCCCCGTGATGGGATTAGGGTCCTTTAAGAAGGCAGACCAGAGTTCTCTCTCTCTCTGTTCATGTAAGGACACAGCGAGGTAGCCATCAGCAAGTCAGGAAGAGAGTCCTCACCAAAGAACTGAATTAGCTGGCATCCTGAACTTGGACTTTCTGGAACTGTGAGAAATGAATTCCTGTTGTTTAAGCCACCCAGTCTATAGTATTTTCTTATTGCAGCCTGAGCTAATACAACACATATCTTTTAAGTAAATAAAAATAATAATGACCTATTCACAATATCTACTAAAATTAATCAGTGTACTTGAGTCAGTTACCCATATCACTTGAGTGATACAGGCTTCAAGTTAGTATTCTATTCATAAGGGAACTGATTAAATAATACACTGCGAAGACTGGGTCATTCACTGGGAAACCAGGGAACAAGGCAAGAGCTAAGCTGGAGATCTACTGTCAGAAGCTGAGTCTAGAAAGCCATTGGATCAATACTAAAGTCTGGAGTTAAAGAGTAAGAACAAGATAGAATCTGGAGTCTTTGGGTCAAGCAAATCAGATGAGACTTATGTAGGAAAGAAACAATCCATGGCCCATTTAGTCTCACATTCCTATTCTCCAGGGGAAAAAGACCGGTAATAAGCCATTGTATAAACAAATTTGGAGATGGGTATGTATACATCTGCTGCAGTGACAGAAGTATTGGTGTTAAACCATAACATATACAAGCACATCTTCAAAGTCCAGTTAGTGGAAAATCATAAGCCAAAAGTGTTATTGATAAAAATGTGCATTACAACACACACTGTAGGGTTAACCCAACAACCAAGTAACCTCAACTGATCGTGAATTTAAACAGCAAGTTTTCATTAAAAACAAAAATCACAGCAGTTAAAAACCATGACCAGCTTGCAACAACATTGATGATCCTTCTTCCAAAATGGTAATTCCAACTACAACTTGTTTGTGGGCATGCGCAGCAGATCTCCACAAATTGCCAAGTGCTTTGTGGCGGAGACTTAGAAAAATCTGTGTCTTCAAGAAGGCATGGCCAAATTTTAGTTTATGAAGACCCAATTTTAGTAACTCCCAAACTCATTCAGTAGGTAACTGCTAATAAGCAGCTGCTCTAAAAATCAAATGCTATGGAATTCTGGGTAATTTGCCAGTAAGAATCATGACAGGGACCTGCATCTGGGGAAGTTTGGGATTTACTAGGAGGAGTCCACTGCACAGTCGAGAACCACTAGCTGTTGGGTGGGGATGTTCTGGAACGGCTGATGCTCTCAAGCATTTGGGCTCCTGGCTTAGGCTGCTGCCCATGTCCACTGGGTCTTCAGTCTCCTCCCCACTCTCGGCTGAATAGCTCATGGTTATCCTATAACAGTGGATGTCCTGGCTGCTCCATGAGGCTGTTCCTGCTTCCTCTTGGGAGAGATAAATGATGTTCTTGGCCAGACCATTCTTAAACTAGACCTCTCTCATGTGTACCCAGTTTATAAAGTGATGATTTAGGAAATGATGTTAAGCGATAAGGGTCAAATTTTAGCCTCTATAAGATGTGTACATGAGCAAAAATTTGTTTTTATGCCTATTTCTAGGTGTAATATTTAAAAATTTTAAGCAACATAGCTTACGCTGACAGAGCTTTAAAAGTGTGGGCTCGAAGCCCGGATGTATCCGTTCTTTCAGGATGCTGGGTCTGGGTGCAACAATAGAGTATGCTAAGAATGTAAACCCTTCGGAGACTAATTTCTAAGTTATGCATTTACTTGAAGGATTAAAAATCCTGAGTACATTTAGCAGTGATAAATGTGGACAATGGTTTCCTTTAGCTAAGCCGCCAATTGTTGCCCCTCTTCCTCCTATGAAAGGCTATTTACGCCAGATAATAGTTTACAAGTTGAAGCATTTATTTTTTACTTATATGCAGGAACATATAACAAGTTTCTAAAGAGACAAAAGGTCTAATAACGGAATGATAATAGGATAGTTTACAGTAATATCCTAATACCTGTGTATGGTCTATTTTCTATCATGCAGTCAAAAGGAACAGAGCATATAAACATATATCAGAAATCCTAGGGTAATTTTCATTTCTAGGAAAACAGCAAAGGCTATAAACAAAATAAACTGTATTGCTAGACGGTCACATACTCCTAACAAAAGTTTATAATTTCCTGCAAAAGAAACATACCAGCTGCTTCAGGATGTGGGTAAGACAAGCATGCTCCTGTGGTAATGATTTCCCAAACAAGAAAAAAGTTAGAAAGGCAAATCTTTGCTAAGCTGCAGACTACCAGGTCTCCTGATTTATGAAAGCAATAAGAATAGAGTAGATAGAGCTGTTAAAGAAAATGCTTAGAAATAAATATTCTATACATTAGTAAAATCTGTCAAATAAAATGACTTTTAATTTACAACAGAAAAAAATACCTTCACATATTTTACTATTGTCAGAGCATTTATTATGTAGCATGATATTTTAGGTTGACACACTAGATCTACTATATTCCACAACCATACAACATAAATATGCATGGATATCCCGTAAAGTTCTAGTCAATTCTTAAATAAAAATTCTCTTAATGATACAAATATAGATTCATCCAATTACAATGATGTACATTCAATTTGTCATAAACTCACTTTTTTCTTTATCATTTTATCATAAATTTATCTTTTTAAAAATTTTTAAAATTTTTTTATTTTAAGTAGGCTCCATGTCCAGCATGGAGCCCAGAGTGGGACTTGAGCCCACCACCCCAAATCAAGACCTGAGCTGAGATCAAAAGTCGGATACTTAACCAACTGAACCACCCAGCTGCCCCCATAAATCTATCTTTTTTCAATATTTACATATTAGTGCTATTTCACACTTTGCCCTGTTCATTGTCATTCATTCATTTTATTCATGCATCCTTTTGACAAACATTTACTGTGTATTTGCTAAATATCAGCAAATGATTAGGTCAAATCATTCTTCCTTCTCAATTTTTCATGTTGCACTTACTACCCTTCTAAATGTCATTCAGTGATAAAATCATGGGCCTCATTCTTCATTCCATTGATTCATATTTACCTAGAACTGCCATCTGATAGCTATTAATTTTACATCTTTCTTCCTAAAGGTGAGATGAAATTCAGTGGGGAGAGCAGGGCGGTGAGGAAAGAAATTAATATGTACTATTTGTATCCAACATGCAGTGCACTTGACTAAGTATTTAACATGTATTACCTTAAATAAGTTTCATAACAACAAAATAAAGTAGGTATGTTTTTATCCCCGTTTCATAACTTGGGAAACTGAGTCTCTCCCAGGCTGCCTAGGTTTTACCTTGGTCTGCCTGACCCCAAAGGCTTTTAAGCAGCTCTTTAAGGACAAGTGTCACCCCTCACTTTTTCAAATCTCTCAATAATGTTTTGCTTGAATCTATGCTACTCCTAAAACTCAGACCTTCTACTCTTCCATATGCCTCTAAAAACTACATACTATTTAAATAAATTACTAAAGAAATATCTTTATGCAAGGGTTTTTGTAGCAAAGGTAGACAGCTCATACAAAGAAAATGCTAATGAATAAATTAAAATATTTAAAAAATTCTAAAATCTATCAGCCCTAATGATGTATTATGTTTTATTTTTTTCAGACCACTCTCCTACTATTACTGGGAGTAACAGATAACAGATTATGAATAGGCTAGGCATTTAAAACTCAGTATATAAATACAAATTAAACCAAGGGAAAAGCCAAATATAAAAAGTCCATTTTTATTAATAGGGATGAAAATAACATGTCATAAAATTAATGTTAAAGAAACACCATGTATTATGTTGCATTCTCTCTCATTATTCCCTACTAGTAAGTACCTTATATTCTTCATAATCATTGCTATCGAGCAAGTCCCTCTTATCCAGTTCTGTAAGTTGTTCTGCAGAGGGCTTAGCTGGTAGATGCTTAATGGAGGCTTGCTCATATATGGGCTTTCCATTAAAAAACAGTTCCTTCCAGTCATGCATCAACTTATATGGAATCATACTATAGCAAAAAAGATTAAAAAAAGGTTGAGATGAATCAATGGTTAGTCAAATATACACCTTAAACCTTAGTCTTTGTATTATCATATTCATTCCCCATGGTCTGCTGTTTGAGGCTAGGAATTCCACTTACTATTACTGTATATTACTAATGGCTAGTAGAACGTTTCAAACTTAGTAGGTTTGAATGAATCAACGTTACTTCAAGCCACTGGTTCCTCAAACTTTCATATTGACTGTGCACTAACAGAACAATATATCTGAAAATAATGAGCACTATCCTAAAACTTAGGTTCTTCTAAAACAATTCCCAGCTATGCCATTAAATGGCTGTGCAATCTTAGGAAATCCTTTAAATGCTCTACTATCAGTGTCTTCCTGTGCAAAATGAACAGACTGAGTATTTTCCAAAGCCCTTTTAGGATGGCAGCTGGTTTCCACATTTGCAAATAATTTGTAATAGAAAAATCAAATGTATGGTGGTTTTATTGTCATTGTCTATTTGATAACCTTTAAAATTACTTTTCAGTAACTATTTCTACTTAAATCTGATGAATGATTAAGAGGTAATCAGGACAGGCTGATGGAAAAATAGCTTCAAGAAGAACAAAATGCAAGGAAGGAAAGAGTCTGACATGATTCTGATGCATTTCTCTAGAAATAGTTGGACTAGAGCTTGAAATTACAACAAAACAAGTAGTTTTTCATTTATTTCAGTCTGATACATGCCACATGGATGAAACGTGAAGACATTAGGTTAAATGAAATAAGCCAGACACTAAAAGAACAAATCATATACAACTTCATTTATATTAGATACCCAGAATAGACAAACTCACAGAGATCAAAAGTAGAACAAAGGTTTATCAGGGGCTGGAGAGTTATTAAATGTGTACAGCGCTTCAGTTTGGAATAATAAAAAAGTTCTGGAGATGGATGGTGGTGACAGTTGCATGATAATGTAAATGTACTTATGCCACTGAAGAGTATATCTAAAATGATTAGAAGGGTAAATTTTATGTTATGTATGTTTTGCCACAATAAGAAAAGTAGTATTTCAATTACATGTACAATTTCAAATATAATCACCTTATGTTTTCCATTAATAAAATATTTACAGTTGCTAAGGGTTACTTTGTAGAGATATGGAAGTTTAGAAATTGATAAGCTCAGGCATAGAAATATTATAACATCAGAATTATTGAAATGTCATTGGTTTCTATGGTGAAGTGATTAATAACTTATAAATTGTCCAAAACTTAATCTTACAGTTGCTTAGTTAATATCCTATTATCTGAATATTAATAATTTTAAGAAGCAATCTAAAAAGTCAGTTCTTCTGAGTAGGTTGATACCAAAAATATACCTGAGCTTTAGAAAAAAATAGATACTGATAATATCTTGTTCAGTGAAGTAACATGAGTTTATCTTGACTCATAGCAGTCTAGACTAATATAATATATGTGTCACTGTTGTGTTCAATTGCAATTAAAAGACACTTACACAATACACAAAAAATGGATTAAAGACTCTAATGTAAGACCTGAAATCATAAAACTCCTAAAAGAAAACATAGGCAGTAAGCTCTCTGATTTGGTCTTGACAATGATTTTTTGGATTTGATACCAAAAGCAAAGGCAACAAAAGCAAAAATAAGCAAGCGTGACTTTATCCAACTTAAAAGATTCTGCAAGGCAAAGGAAACAATCAACAAAAAGAAAAGGCGATCTACTGAATGGGGGAAAACATTTGCAAATCACATACCTGATAATATCCAAAATATAAAGAACTCATACAACTCAATAGCAAAAAAAAAAAAAAGCACACAATCCAATTTTTAAAATGGGCAGAGGATCTGAATAGACATTTTTCCAAAGTAGACATAAAGATGGCCAACAGGTACATGAAAAGATGCTCAACATCACTAATCATCAGGAAAATGCAAATCAAAACCACAATGAGATATCACCTCACACCTATCAGAATGGCTGGTATCAAAAAGAGAAGAAATAAAAAGTAAGGATGTGGAGAAAAGGGAACCCGTGTGTACTGTTGGCGGGAATGTAAACTGGTGCAGCCACTGTGAGAAACAGTGGGTTCTCAAGAAGATCTCAGTCTAGGTAATTTTGAGATGTGTACACATTTAAATGGGTCACCTTATCTTTGTCCTTGTGGAATCACTTTCACTGAGATCTACTGTGATGTCATTCCCCTTTAGCTCTCAGCAAAGAGTATCACAAGAAATAAGTCTATGAAGCCAGATGATACATTTGCTCAAAAGATGTTGCTGAGGACACTCTCCACTAGATCCACAGCACTACTCAGTGTACCTTAGGTGAGGGTACCACATGAGTGAACTATTGTTGTAAACTGAGTGCCAAGAAAAGTTCTGTATTTTGTAAAGAACCAGAACAGAAAATGGAAAACACATGACAGGCTGTATTTCCCTTTATACTTTGACCACCAGGAAGCTCAGATAAAATTTGCAGCTCAGTTGCAGCAAGTGGCAAATCTCCTGCTGCTAATATAACCGTGTTCTGGCTTATCCCTTGTTCTTAACTTTCTACTTTAATTTGGATTTTCCTTTGTTCTTATTCTGGCATATTATTAATATATTTTGTATTGTTGAATATTTCCTTATAAATGCATTAATTCCTTTTAGAAACAAGGTGCAACGAAAATAAACAGATTTAATGACCAGTAATCTTCAAATAATTCCAGTCTTTTAGGAAGTTCCAAGTGTTTCAAATAAATTATCATAGTTATCTTTGTAAATTATAATTTAGACATAAAGTTTAAATGTTAAAAGACATATAAATACACCTTAAATAAGGCTCATCAGTGGGTGAATTAAGTCAGTAATCCAGGTATCCTGGACCCCACTTCTTAGTATTTTTTCAAGAAAAATTTTTGTCTCTATTATCAACTGAGTGTCCACATTAACAATCTTATCCTTTCTCACTTTCTGTGATGTCTCTACTGTAACGATTATAAAAAGCAACACTTACTTATTTGTCAACATTCGGTAGTCTGCCACCTTAGTGGACAAATCAAGTATTTGATCCAAAATTTCTGCACATATAGTGTAATGCTTTTTGTAACGAGCTTGAGCTCTTTCCACAGCAATCTGTTCATGAATTTCCTTCTCTCTGATGGCTTGTTCTTCAAAATCAATCTTGGCTTGTCTGGCCAAAGCCTAAGAAAGGCAAAGACGTTTTTAAGTCAATGTAATTGTGCGAAGATTCACGTGAAAATAATATCATTTCAATAGGCGAAAAAATTTCTAAGTAGAATGAAACACACTTTTACACCAAGAAAAACTTAATCACGAAAGAGCCTTTCTCCTTATTAACTACTGAGTATGATGGCAAAGACGATATTGGAAATATTCCACCTTTAGCTTATCTTATCAGCAAAATATAATACAGAGAACAGTGGTCTAACTGTGGAAAGCCCAATGTAGATTAATGATAAATTGGATCTTAAGTGTTTAAAAAGAAGCCTTGAGTTCATGGTTTGCAAACAGTCAGAGTCAGGGATCACAGAGAAACAGGCAAGTTTGTGCCAGACCCCAGCGTTGCTGGCCCTTTCGAACCCATCTTAGGAGCCTTAACCTGACATATCTGCTCCGCCCGGCCAGTGCCCCCTGTCTTTTCATGAGAGTTCTAGGATACTGACTGATACTTAGAAAATATTTTGGAAGATCCCTGATATTATTGGCTTGAGAATATCACACATGTGCCAACAAATGTTAAATGTATTTAGACAACAACAACAAAAACATTCTGCTGTTATAGCCTTAATAAATTGGTAAAATTCACTCAGAGAGAACATTTATTTCTGCAGAAAGTAATGAAATACTTACAGTTTGTCATGACCCTCTGCTTGGTTTGCACTATTATTTTGTTTAGAGAAACTCTTTCTTCACACAAAGTGCAAAGGTCAAACTCAGCATGACTAAATGCTGCTTTTCAAATAGCTATCCCAGCTCCTTGAGAAATTCTATCCTGTGCTAACATGCTCCAGAAACCAGACTTGCCTCCTGTAACTTAACCCGATGAGTATAAAATGGAGGTGAACTTGGGCCTTGGAGGAGCTGCCGTCAGTCAAGCCCCAGCCTGTATACCGAAGTCAAGTCCTAGGCTCCTAGCCCGAGCCTCCCTTAGCCTCCATGTCCTCAGGGTGAAGTGGGGTATTAAAAAGACTTGGCATACACAGAAAAACTCACTGAGCCATCCAATCAGGGCAAATATTTCTTATGATACTACTCACAGATGACTAAATGCCTGACAATGGACTGCTTTTGTCCACTGAACCAAATCGAAGGTTCATTTGTTTTTGTTATTGTTGTTTTATTTTGTTTGTTTTCTTTTTATTGGGAAAGAGGTTGGGCTGGGTGACCCCTGAGGTCAGTCCTGTACATTTGGCAAGTTCCGGAATCACACCAGAATTTGTTATTGCTGTATTGTTCTGTGGGCCCAGTCTTCCTGGGGAAAGCATACCATTTCAGTACAAACCTTTATGGCGTGCTTCATCACCTGTGAAGAGGTCAGAGGAAGAGGAGTCTAAAAGAGCAGGAGTAGCCAGATGAGAATTTGTGGAGTGACAGTAAAATGGGGTGTGAAGTTGCTTGACTGCAGAGTGCCTGTAAAGCATGTGGAAATGTTTCGGGCGGGAAGGGACCCAAGCCTTACAGGGACCCGCGGAATGATCCCACAGAAAGGCAGCAGCTTTCACCTGGGTGCTGTCTCCCTCCCTCCCACCCTCTGTGCCTTTCTTCCTTCTTTACAGCTACTAGTCTTCTACCTTTACCCCACCCCGTCTCCCTGTGCTAAACCCACAATTTCCTGTCACATTACAGCAAACTGGGTTGAAGCCCTAAAAAAAGAAAGAAGGAAAAGGAAAAAGGAAGTCTGTGGGAGGTAGTCAATCTCGGTGGTTATGAGCCCAGACTCTGGAGTCGGCTAGAGCTGACTGTGCTCCTGCCTACACCACTCACAGGCTGTGTGAAGGTGAGCTTTCTAAGTCTTGTTTCCCTTATGTGTAAAATGTAGACAAGGATAGTGTCAACTTCCAAAGGCTGTTGCGAGAATTATATGTGCATGTGACAAACATAGCTCAATGCTGGACTCACAATAAATGCTCAAAAAATGTTAAATATTATTATAATTAAGTACTACTACTAATAATAGGCAGATTAGAAATTTGAAATCAGAAACACTTAATATAGAATAGATGCCCAATTACCTTAAAGGATGAGATAAGCAGATTTAATCTAAATACAAAACCAAAACAGACAAAAACTGATGATGGACAACACAAAGTTCTTTCTCTCTCTCTCTATTTTTCTCTCTCCCTTCTCTCTCTCCCTTTCTGCATCATTCCTACCCCCGCCCCCCGGCCTTTCTTGAAATGTACCAGACATTGGCCTAAGCCCTGGGGAAACAGTAGTGAGCAGAAGCAAACATGATCCCTTTCCTCATAGAGCTTACATTCAGTGGGAGAGGCAGTGAAAAAGCCATACAATAAATGTATACCTGCACAGTATGATACATGTCACAAGGAAGGACGATGGTGTATGGCCCATCACAGGAGGCTTGACCTAGATAAGAAGTGACCTGTGCAGAGAGTTCTGAAAGATGAGGATTAATTGGGGAAAGGCATGAGGGAAGAAGGGGATTAGCAGAAGAAATGACTTGTTCAAAGATCTGAGAACAGAACAGGATGGCCAGAGTCTGGGAGACAGAGGGGAGCAAGGTATGAGCAGGGATCTCGTCGAAGAGAAGCCATGAGTGGGTTTTTGAGTATGAGGGCAATGGTCAAATCTGAGAGTCAAGAAGATTCCTCTGGCTGCACAATGGAGGATGATTTGGAGGAGATGATAATAGGGCAGGTAATTTGTATAAGGTATCTCTAATTTCCCCTTCCTTCATTTCTAACAGGTCTTTTTTAACTCCTGCTTCAGGGAGCTTCTTCAGGACAGAAAAGTAGAAACTGTTGGAAATCCCTCCTCACTTTAAAGGACTCTATCCAAAGGCAAATTAATCTAGGTCACTCCAAGGGAGAGGAGAGGAGGGGAGATTTTGAGAGCAAAGAGAAAGAGGAAGAGATGTGTGCCCACTCCCTGGCACTTCCTGGGGAGCAGCAGAGCCTCAGAAGGGAGCATGTGAGGGACCAGCAAAAGTTGGAACAGCCTCTGCGAAGACATGTGCCACTGGAGGCAATGTGTGGGCTGGGGTAACTGAGGTCTCAAAGGCAACAGGCTGGGCCTGGGCCTGATGACTGCAGGGTTTCCCTGATGACTTGGTCTGTGACCTGAGGCACCGTGCATCTGTGCATTTTTGTGGGCAGAGGTGGATTGCTGGAGTTCAAGCTTAGGCTGATTTAAAGAATATAAAGAATGTTATGTTCTTGCATACCCCAACTGTGGTTGCTAATTCATAGCCACTCAAAATGGACGAAGGAGACCACTGTAGTAGTGGTAGTAGAGTAGTAGTAGAGACTGGGCTGGTGGTGTAGACATGGGGAAAAATGGACAAATTGAAGAGATATTTAGTACATGAAATTGACAGGACTTAGTGATGTTTTGGATACGTTAGAAAGGGTGAAGTAGGGTTCAAGTGGATCCTGAAGTTTTGCGCTTGCATAACCGAATAAATAGTGTCACCATTTATGGAAATACGGAAATTTGAAAAAGACCAGTTTAGTAAGAAGGGTCATAAATTTGGCTTTAACATGGTGAATTTGAGGTATCACTGAGATGTAGGAGTAGAGATGTCCGAAAAGCAGTTGAACATATGGGTCTCTACTGCAAAGGACAAGATATGCATGAGTCGTCTGTCTATTGCAGCAATTACATACCATGGTCGTGCATTAAGAGACTGTCTAAGGAAATAACATAGAGGAGCAAAGAAAGAGGCCTAGAATTAAGCTTTAAGGAACCCTGACATTAAATGTTTTGGTATTAGAGGAGAACGAGCCTACAAAGGAAGGCCAAGAAGGGGCAGCCAATGAAGTAGGAAGAAAACCAGGAGTGCTTCCACAGCAGAACTCAACAGAAAGGGACCATGTAATATCAGATTAATAATTAATATTAATAATATGAGATATTATTAATAGCCTGTATCATTAACAGACTTTTTATTTTTTAATTTTTTTGAATATTTATTTATTTATTTGAGAGACAGAGCGTGAGAGCAGGGGTTGGGGCAGAGGAAGAGGGAGAGAATCCCAAGCAGACTCCCCACTGAGTGTGGAGCCCAATGCAGGGCTTTATCCCAGGACCCTGAGATCATGACCTGAGCCAAAATCGAGAGTCAGATGCTTAACTAACTGAGCCACCCAGGCACCCCATTAACAGACTTTTAAAATTTGTAATAGGTTTAAAAGTACTTCTAGAATTCTCCTCCTTCTCCCACCACAAATGATAACAAAAACTAAAAAAACAGTAAAAAGTAATAAAAACAATTTAAAAAACTCTCCTCTTCACAAAAGTGAAGCAGTAGAATTATCTGCTGTGGGGAACAAAATCTAATTTGTTTATTTAGTGCATGAGACTAGGAAGAAAAGGAAACAGTGTTCCTTTGGCAGCTTCAATTCAGTATTTATTTCTTTGGCTCCTACTCACACACCAGCCACTGCTGATGTAGGAGGTAATAAATTCAGTGTTTGCGGAGATAACCCGTGAAATCAAGCCACCTCACAGAGAGGGGGGCCAGGGAAGCAGATACCTCAGCTTTCAGGAAAGGCACTCATTGTGAGAGGATGGGATATAATTTTTTCAGATGCTACAGAACCTCACAGTTCTGTCTCTGAGGCTCTAGCAGGCCTGAATATTCCAGTCCTCTGAAGTCGGTTCAGGCCTAGTTAAAGAAAAAAGCAGGTAATGCTTCTCATCACAGTGAGCCCAGTCCTGCTATAAATGCTTTACTATTCTGTACTTCATCAACTGGGCTTGAAGCAAACATATTTTTCAACAGGCACTTAAAAGGTTAGCTAAACACATCATTTCTAATGTAAGCAAATGCTATTCAATCCATTCAAGTTCACTCTTGTCAAAAAAGAGGGATGAAACAATTATCCAGATAATTCAGCTCTTAAAGAGAACACTTGAGATCAGGGATCCTACAGCTCAAATTCATGGAGCCATGGACGTATAGTTCTTCACCCCTACCCCTAACATTTCAGCTATGTCTATTCTACAAAAGGCAAAAGCACCATTTTCCTGACTTTCAAATGATATTTCTAAAAACTGCATATTTTTGGCAAAAGCTGTATTTATTTTCATGGAATATCACAGTGTAAACCACAAATCTGATAAATAAAGCATTCCCTTCCTATTTTCTATGTGGTTTTCTCTTTTATTCAGCCTAGCTTTGTGACTATTTTATGGCACTAAAGACAGGCTATATAAAATGCCACTCACATGAGTTTTGTATTTCTTCAATCAAATCTGGACCAACAGATTGAATAAATTTGAACTCTATCTCCAGTAGGAAATAGGCAAGAAGTAATCTACATAATCCATTGATAAAATAGATCTATTTTGATGATTAGAATCCATATATACATAAAGATAAGGAAAAATATTAATGTATTAAATGATCGGAAGATTAGATATTTTGATTTTCAGAGCCATAAAAGGACCTAGACACAATGATACCACAGTAGCCGAGAGCATACCTCTCATCCGGATCTTGGTGTCTGTGTACCATTCTCAAATACGATCAACAAGATCGTACACTGGATAAGTGGCCTATTTGGGTCTGGAGGAAGGAATAATACACTATGGGCCTGATAAAATCCTGTTTTATCAGAAAGCAAGGAATCATTTATTAAAGACTAATGGTATCTTATAAAAAGGAGGCAGCTTAAAAGTGCTCTCACTGCCTGAGAATGTTCACCTAAAATAACCAACACCAATACCATCCTAGTAAACTTAGCAGATTTTAAAGGAAATTAAAGCTCTGTATACATCTAGAAAATTGGAGTAATCACACAAGGAACTGAAAATTAGATTATCATTAATCATTTTGACAATAGCACTTTTACCTAAAGAAAATGGAATAATGTATTTAAGATATTCAAGGAAAGAGAATGTGAACTAGGGATTCTATATACAGCAAAACTGACAATCAGGTATAAAAGTTAAATCTATACTGTTATCAGTATACAATACACAATATCCGATACAACATACATGGAATATATATTGTTCCCTGAGCCCTTCTTGAGGAATCTACTGGAGAATGAGTTACAGGCAACCAAAATTACCAGAGAGACATAGACATAAAGATGGGTGGTGAACATCAAATATTGGTGGAATCAAGACTAGAGGGGGAGAGTGTAATATGTAGAAGCTCTATGCGCTGTCAGTGTAGTTACACAAAAATAAAAATGGGAAGGTAAGAGAGAGATCATATAAAAATTAACTCTTTTTAAGTAACAGGCAACTAAATGCAGTTTTGTTTACCTTGACTTGGTAGAAAGGATCAAAAGTAACCTTAGATTTTTAAGGGAGCTATTGTTTACCGCTTCCCGATCAAGAGCATCCTGGAAATCTTTAAGTCGTCTTTCTTCATATTGTTTTTCTCGGAAAATTCTGTTCTGCCATAAAACTTCCTTTTCATGCCGAACATGCATCAGCTGCACAGCGATCCTGCGCTCCTGCTGGGACTGCCGCATCAGCCGATTAATCAACCGCTCCTCCCGATACGCCTCCTGAAAACACCATTGGAGGAGCCAATTATTTGTCAAGGCCATGTCCAAATTTCCCATTGGGTTAAGAAGCCTATGTATAAATAATGTGTACAAGGCAGAGTAGTCCTCGGCATCTACTTCTGTCATTTGATTTAAATTTGAACATGGCAAAAATCAAGTTATAAAAATGAAGATTTCCAACAAAGGTTGTACCATTTTGGTATCTGGAAGCACTATGATCTTGCAAGTCACAATGATTTTAAATGAATTATTGCTTTGTTTAAAATCCAATGAAAAATAAATTAGGTGACTGTTTTCAAGGTTTTGTAAACAAAGGATCTGATTCTCAATTTAAAAGCATGTTTTCAGAAATTTGAAATTCCTGAAATAAGTACTGGTTGTAATTACAAAAACAAATGCAGACTTTGGCTGAAGACGCAGATCTAGTTAGTTGCCAGTTTGGATATCTCACTACCTGTGTGAGAAAAAGCTGCAATCTGATGGAATGGGAAGACTGGAGCAGAGTCTAAGGGGTCATGACCTACTGTTTGTCTCAGAAAATCTGATTGGTTGTAATCTGAAAGAGAAACTAGATGCATTCTCCTGGCTCTCTCGTCTATTTTAAGAGAGTAGAAGGGGAGTCAGTATGTGAGCAGTGGAAAAAAGCATTAAATTGGGAATCAAAAGCCACTGCAGCTCCAGTCTTACCATTAATTGGCCGTATGGCCTTGGACAAGTAACTTGGATTTTCAGGGCCTACTGCTTGACAGGTGAAATGAGGGGTTTAGGTGGAAGATGATCTTCAAAGCCCCTTCAAGCTCTCATTCTGTCTAAACAGAGACATCATGTGGAAGGAGGAGGTAATTAAAGTTCTCAAGGGGGAAGACATAAAAGAATGCTTAAACATTGGAGTTGTCCATTTAACACTCAACAATCCAACTATTTAGGAAGAAAATCTAGCATTATTAATGATATTGTTTCAAATGATCTCTGCCACTATGAGATTACGGGAGAAATATCCTATATATTTCCAGAATCTGGAGGCAAATAATAATAACAACACTCTATAGTAAATTCCAAAACTTGAACCTGGGAATTATATAAAAATGTAGATTAAATAAAATTTCTCAACGGAAAATAAATATGAATTTTTTAGTAACATATATAAGCACAGGCCTCACCCCAGAGCTGTGATTTGAGTTTGATTCAGTAGGTCTGAGGTGAGGTCCAATTATTTACATTACTGAAAATTTCCAGGTGATTCTGATGCTGCTGGTCCAGGAATCACACTGAGAACCACTAGAGTAAACCAATAAACAAACTGAGAGGACTAACAACTTCTCCATGTTGTTTTCATTAACCTTTTTGATAATGTCAATAGATGCGGAAAAAGCATCTGAAAAAATTCAGTATCCTTTCAAGATCAAAACTCTTAACAAATTAGGTAGGGAAGGAATGTAACTCAATATAATGAAGGCCATGTATGACAAGCCCACAGATAACATCATAATCAATGGTATGATGCTAAAACCTATCAGCTTGCCAGCATTCCTTTAAGATCTGGAATAAGACCAAGATGCTTATTCTCACCGTTTCTTTTTAGCATAGTACTGGAAGTCTTAGCCAGCACCATTAACAAGAAAAAGAATAAAAGGCATCCAGATTAGAAAGGATGAAGTAAAATAGTCTCTGTTTGCATATGATATGATTTATATACAGAAAACTCTAAAGACTTCAACAACAGCAACATAAAAAATCTGTTCGAACTGAAAAACAATTTCAGTAAAGTTGCAGGATACAAAATCAATATACAAAAAATCACATATATAAAAATGTGTTCCTATATGCAATGAATAATCTGAAAAAAATTGAGAAAACAATCCAGCATAATTGCATAATAGCATCAAAAATAATAAAATATTTAGGAATAAATTCAACTAAGGAGGTAAAAGATCTGTGAACTAAAACTATAAAACATTGATGAAAGGAATTGAAGAATACACAAATAGATGGAAAGATATCCCATGTTCATGGATTAGAAGAATTAATAATGCTAAAATGTCCATAATATCTAAAGTAATCTACAGATTTAATAAAATCACTATCAAATTTTCAATAGCATTTTTCACAGAAATAAAAAAAAATACTAAAATTCATATGGAACAACAAAAAACTCCGAATAGCTAAAGCAATCTTGAGCAAGAGGAACAGAACTGTAGGCATTCCTAATTTCAATATATACTACAAAGTCACAGTATTCAAAACAGTAGGGTAATGGCATAAAAACAGACATATAGACCAGTGGAATAGAAAAGAGAGCCCAGAAATAAATCCATGCTTGTACAGTCGACTGATCTTCAACAAGAGTGCTAAAGCTACATAATGGGGAAAGGACAATCTCTTCAACAAGTGGTGCTGGAAAAATTAGATGTCCACATGCAGAAGAATGAAAATGTACCCTTAACTCACACTGTATACAAAAATCAACTCAAAATGTATTAAAGACTTACACATAAGACCCAAAACTATAAAACTACTAGAAGAAAGTACAGGGAGAAAAAACTTCTTGACATTGGTCTAAGCAATGATTTTTTCTTTTTAATATGACCCCCACCGCACAGGCAACAAAAGCAAACATACACAAGTAAGATTGCATCTGACTAATAAGCTTCTACACAGTAAAGGAGACCATCAACAGAGTGAAGGGGCAACCTATAGAATGGGAGAAAATATTTGCAAATGTACATTTGGTTAATATCCAAAGTATGTCCTTTTTGGTCAGTATTTTTTTTTTTAATTGTGGGAAAATATACATGACGTAAAATTTACCATCTCAACCATTTTTAAGGGTACAATTCAATGGTATTAAGTACATTCACAATGTTGTATAACCATCATCAGATTTTAGATTATTTAGTAAATGTTTTATGTAGATTTATTTTTCTGAGTCTATTTGCCGTGATGATGCGGACGTGTTTTGTTGATATTTGATTAAGAGTAACAGATAATAAATAAGGAAGATACATATATGTATGTATAAAAGACTAAATTTTGCGAACTGTCCAGTACTAAATTATTCAAGCAATATCTAAATATTTTACCTCTTGTGCTTCATGGGCTATTAACTGGTCCATTAACAGTCTCCGCCGTCTTTTCTCCCTTTGCTCTCGTGCAAAAGCATCCTCCTCAAGGCGCTTTTGGATTTTTTTAATATAGTCATCATCCGAATAAGTGTTTAACAAATCAGTAGTTGTCTGGCCGGCTGTATCTAAAGAAGTCTTGGAGGCACTAAGGATAATAGTTTTTATTTAGATTTTAAAAAAACAATGCAATCACATGCCACTATTTGTATCTATGAAGACCTCGGGAAAAGGCTCCCTTGACTGCCCTGTTAATTTATTAATTCAAGCATTAAAGCAAATATTAGAACTTCATTGTGACATCCATAGCTTATCATTAGATTCCATTTGTCGCATTTCTAGACTCTACTTTGGGAGGTCATTAGCTTAGCCTTCTTTCTAAGCCTATTGCCTACTTGTTCTTTCACTTCTCATGATCTGGGTTTCTCTCCCTCTTCTGCCTGTCTCTAGGCCTCTTGCCTCCCGTGTTTTGAGTCAAGAGTAAACACATTATTGATAACCAAAGTGTCAGGGAAGGCATACCTCTAGTCCTAACGTCAGGACACTGAGAGTACTTCCATCCATTACAACCCTCCTCTCCCCCATGCAAATGCAAGCTGCGTTATGAACTCCCAGTAACCTTCTGAATGCTTAGACCAGTGGCCCAGCTCGTACTGGAAGGGTGGCAGCTGAAAAATGACTTGTTCGTCATGCCACACTGGCAAACACAAGACTGACCTAGCCTCTTGCCCAAGTCCTGGAAATCCAAGAAGACCTAGTTCGGTGCCTGTCCTACCTCATGTCCAAAATTAAAGGATCAGGAAGAGCCTGGTGGTGTTACCAACAGAAAGCAAATACACTCAATTTAGTGGGACAATGGTAGCTCAGTACAAGAATTTATAGGTTCATTCAAACGTTATCTTTAGGGGGCACCTGGGTGGCTCAGTCATTAAGCGTCTGCCTTCGGCTCAGGTCATGATCCCAGGGTCCTGGGATCAAGCCCCGCATTGGGCTCCTGCTCGGCGGGAAGCCTGCTTCTCCCTCTCCCACTCCCCCTGCTTGTGTTCCCTCTCTTGCTGTGTCTCTCTCTGTCAAATAAATAAATAAAATCTTTAAAAAAAAAAGTTATCTTTAGAAGTAAAAGATACATTTTTATGTATATAAGGATCAAATAATCAATTCTCATCTGCATATCTCCTTACAAAATAAACAGAATACAATAGTACAATGGTACAAGATGTATCTTGTTACCTGCCAATAAATGTTTTAATATTATAAATATTTTTTTCATGTTGTAAGTTATTAATGTATTCAGTTTAAAATACAACTTACTATCTTATTCAAAAGCCAAGAACACATTAATATGGTATGTAGGAACTAAATTGTCATCAATTCCTATACAGAGCGAAGTATTCTTATAAAGCACAGTTAATTCATGTTTAATGAAGTAACAACTGCATGTCTATAGTATAGATCATATTGTGTTATAGTTCATTTTTTGTGCATTTGCTACTCCCAGATGAACTCTGAGCTCATAAGAAAAGTATCCTATTATACTCCGCTCTGTCCTGGTGCCTCATACTCCTGACATGTAGCTGATGTCTGCTCAACTTCAAATGATATGCTAAGAAGTACGGTACAGAGTAATTCTTAAAAAAAAAATCACACCCTGAAATTCTGTTTATTTTATCAACCAGGGCTCAACCTTCAGTTGTATTCTGTCACTAAAGAGTCTTTGAGCAGAAATTGTGTAGTTACCAAAGCCTCAGTAAGCTAAAATACAGAATTTAACCCTATTTATTAGTACAATTAAGTACTTATGAAAATTAGGGGGCATAACTTCTTAGATCATCCTTTAAAATTTGTATTATGTTTTTACTCAAACATTTTTTAAAGATCTTATTTATTTATTTATCAGAAAGAGAGCGAGCACAAGCAGGGGGGAGAGGCAGGCAGCAGCAGAGGGAGAAGCAGGCTCCCCGCTGAGCAGGGAGCCCGATGCAGCACTCGATCCCAGGACCCTGGGATCTTGACCTGAGCTGAAGGCAAGCACTTAACCAACTGAGCCACCCAGGCGTCCCTCAACTGTGTTGTTTAAAAGAATTTGCTTTGGATTGTACATGGCTTAATATACTTAACATGTTGCTTCTCCTTTATCAATCGTTCTGTCCCCCACCCATCCATCTGCTGTCTCATTCCAATTAAGGGCTCAAGAAAGCTACATGATATTTACCTGAATAAATATTCGTTTTCCTAGATGTGGGTTTCTTGAGGGCAATAATTATGTTTTCTCTTTATCTGCTTGTCAGGCCTCCACAGAGTTAGTAATTGGGTGTGTATGAATTACTAGTAATTGGAACCTTGGCCAAATTTGTGTATAAAGAGCAATGGCTAGGAAGAGTCTAAAGTAAATCTATGCATTCGAGTGTCACATTAGAGCAGGGAACAACCTCAGCTAAAAAAAAAAAAGTAGCAGATAGCATTTATTATTTGTGTTAGAAAATAAAGACAGTAGGTATACAGGAGCTGTATTGTACACGTGGGGGGAAAGCAGCCATGGGAGCTCCTGCATTGCTCTCCCCGAGACAATGTTTCGTTCTTCCACAAAAGAAAGAAGATGGGACTTGGAGGTGACGTCCCTGAGGAACCGTTTCCAGAGCAGGCTGTGAAAGCGGCAGCTGCAGAAATTGCTCCTTGTGGTCAACTTATGAGATTTTAGTGCTTTCTGGAATCAAATAGTGTGAAGTTTTTGAAAGAGCCCAGAAGATGCTTGATTCTAAGCTAAAAATTCAGAATGCACTAATGCAGTGATTAATAAAGGGACTTAACAAAGGCCATACTGTACCATAACTTTTGTTTTCCTTAGAAGTTTGCTCCAGACCTATGCTTCCCAACATCCTTTATTTGGGGCCACCAGAGAAAATGCCTTTTGTGCAGCATACTGAGAGGGATTTGGAGTCCCAGATGAAGCGTCACAGTCACCGGTGACTGGTCCAGGGAGTCTGGCTGCCCCAGGCCCTATCCTGCTGTTCTGAGAATCGAAATGAGGATATCTCTATTTCATGGCCTCCCAGTGCTAAGTCTCTGGTAAGACCAAGTGGAGGCTTCTGCAGAGAAAGAACCTGTGATAGACACCATCATTTCCTTCCCTTTTTACTCAAAACAGAGCCCCAGGTTTATTCAGGAAAACAAAGTATCCAGCTAAAGACTACATTTCCCAGCCTCCCATTCTGCTAAGTGTGGCCATGTGACTGAACTCTGGCCAATAAAATGTAAGCACAAATGTTACCTGGGACTTCAGGGAAGGTTCTTAAAAGGAGCTATTTCAGCTATTTCAGATAACTACTTTTTGCCTATCTTCCTTCCTTATATCTAGAACATGGGCCAAATGGCCAGAGCCCCAGGAGCCATCTTGTATTGTGAATGTGAATTTGAGGACAAAAACCACACAACAGGACAGTGGAGCTAAAGGAAACCCTCGGTCCTTGATGACTTTGGAGCTCCAACACATGCCCTGAGCTGCTTACATTCTCATTTCTATTACATGAGAGAGAGGTCAACTTTAACCTGCTCTTGTTTGGGGTTTCTAAAGCTAATTGATAGAGAGACCTAGGTTCAAGATGGGTTGGCAAAGGCAATAACGGTAAGCAGAGTGCATGTTTGCAGCTGTATTGTACAGGATGATCTTTAAATATTTAACAACTGACATGGCAAGGACACTAATCAATCAAAATGGGTGCTGGTGCAGGAATTAGAGGCCACTGCTGTGTTTGGTGTTAATTCTGGTTGCTAAATTGTGTGGAAATTGAGGGGTCCCAGGAAAGGGCTACAGGGAATACCATTCACCTACAAGTAACAAAAGTATTTCAGTATTTTAAGTTGGTTGCTCTGGTGGATACCATCTGCTTAACACTCCAGAGTGCATGGCAGGTGAGATGAGTGAAAGAGCTGGAAGAAATCCAGTGGTTTCATGGGCCAGTCCAGGGTGGGTGTGGTGGGGTTTGGGTGGTGGCTACTGGGTGGGTAGGCTTGGATTGTGTTTTCTTTAGTCTGGGGCAGCACGATAAATGGCAGTGGGAATCAGAGTAGGGCATCAAAAGTTTTTGCAGAGGGTAGAAGAAAATGTAATGTATGTATTCTTCATTTTGCTTTATTTTCCTTCCACGCCTGATTTCCTCACCACCTCTTCTTCTTTTTCTTATTTCTCCTCATTTGACTGTTTCTTTCCCTCAGAAATATTAATATGGAACTGATTTATATAGTTTGTGTCCGTTTTTCTTCTTTAACAGAGATTTAGTTCATATTCCACAAAACGTAAGTAAGTAGAATTTGGAAAGTTCCCATTTAAAAATGTGGAAGAACTCAAGTTTCTCCCACCTATGCAGACCTTACTCAATTATCTCCTGTGAGTCAGTGACCCCTAATAGGAAAGAAAAGGGGAGAGTATCTTTATCTTTAGGCAAATGAAGCCCATTAACCAGGCACTTTTTGCAATAAACTCACCGAACTGACCATTTCAGTGACAGTTAAACTCATTCGACAACTTTTTATTGCTGCTCCCTATGTTAAATGCTGAGCACACAACATGAAAGAAACCAACAAGCATCTAATAAAGGCTTTATGACAAATTTAAATTAGTGGTAACTTGAAGCAATTTTCATAAATGCATAAAAAGTGTGTGAACTTAGGATAGCAAGCATAGCATAGAAAAATAACTTCCCATCTCATAATAGCCGCTTTCCCTCCTGATCTTTACAAAAGTTGTTCATGAACAATTAATCCGAATTTTAGTTCTTTTACCTTCTTTCATATACTCTCTTAATGAAGCTTCTACAAAGTAAAAAGATCTTTGGAGCAGCTATTCCCCATAAACTATTTCTAAGTATTTAAAAGTTACAGGTAGAATAGAATGTAGCTCTGTGATTGTTGAAGTAATTCACATCTCACCTTTCTTTGGCTTGGAGATCCTTTTTTATTAAGGCTTCAAACTTCTTAATCTCATTAGCCACATCCTTTAAAGAAAATTCATTATCAGTTTTCCACCTCTAAAAGCCATTGAAAATCTTCATTTACCATATTCACTTTACAAGTTTCCAAGGTGTTATGCACTACTAATTCAGGCTAATTAGGAGGCAAGATATGAAAAGCTGCATTCTAGAATATTTTTATAATTCTGATTCATTACTTTGAGACTAGGTTAAATATACCTAAAAGAGTGTGAAGCTGCCTTACCTGAATCATTCCATTCACAATTCTAGCTCTGACAGTATTTAACAAAGGACATTTAATGAGAATGAAGATATTCAAAGAGTCTCAGGCCATGGATTTTTATTTGCAATTCTTTTAAAGAAGAATAAGCATTTTTTCGGGGTATAAATACTTCTTCAAAAACTGTTGTCTTGCATGTTTTAAATATTTCTTGTGCAACCTTATTTATGCTATTAATTTGCTCTCTGAAGATTAGTTTAGCTCATCCTTTGTCTACTGCAAATCCTTATTAATAAACTTTAATCACCTCAGAGAAATATAAGAATTAAATACTTCTCTAAAATTTGGATCTGAAAAAACCTCTATGGGTAATATTCTTTAGGATCCAAGTACAGGATATTTTTTAAATACTAAAAAATAAAGAAATGTGGATTAACATAAAATGTATTGGATTTAGATATCAGAGAGACCTGTCAATCTCTACTTTACTATCCTGTGGACCAGAGTGAAACATGGCGGCTTTCTGGGTCTCAGTTTCCTTATTTAGAAATTGGGGGAGGGCGCCTGGGTGGCTCAGTTGGTTAAGCGACTGCCTTCGGCTCAGGTCATGATCCTGGAGTCCCGGGATCGAGTCCCGCATCGGGCTCCCTGCTCAGCAGGGAGTCTGCTTCTCCCTCTGATCCTCCCCCATCTCGTGTTCTCTCTCTCTGTCTCATTCTCTCTCTCAAATAAATAAATAAAATCTTTAAAAAAAAAAAGAAATTGGGGGAAATAATACAGCTGACATATAGCAGACGCTCAATAAACGGTAGCTATTATTCTTTTCCTTAGGTCCCAGGAGAGAATACCATTAATAATCACTGTAGCAATATGCAATGTAGACTGCAGGAATTAGTGTCAAAATGTAGTATTGCACCCCTATGAAACATAAGCAGATGGTATCCTGCTGGAATGACTGACAGCTGGTATGGTGTAATAAAATATCACTAGTGTAGGTATCTTAAATTTAAATACACTGATAGCAAGCAAACCACTTAACATTTCTGGTACTCATAGAAAAATAGAGCAGCATGGTGAGAAGGAATTGAGTAAAACATATAGTAGGAATGGCATATATATGGTATGTGTACCTTGACTGACACCTCTGTACCCATGGGGATTATGACCCATCACGGCAGCACAATTCTAGAATATTTTTGTGGTGACCACAGAATCCTTCTCAACACAGGAGTCCAGACTGGTACTGTCATTTAATAGGAGTTTCTTATCTCTGACCTACAGCTACATTCTCTCATTCTGAACAAATAACAGTATGATATGGATTAGATATGCACACAGTGGAGGGGTTTTGAATGAGAAGGAACAATGCCACCAATAATCTGAAAAGGAACTAAGAAGTTGGGGGCATTCTCTCTATATGTTTTAGAGAAAGATCATTCTTTCATTAAGATTAACATAACACCAAATTAAAGGATTATCACTTACCTCTGCCTCTTTTTTCTTTTTCATCATTTTTTGGGCCTCAAGTGCTCTCAAAGTACGATTTGATGCAGGTTTAGGAATCTGTATGATAGCTGCTTGGATTTTGGCCATTATTTCATTTTGTCGTCTTCTGCTCAAGCGTTGCTGAATATCCCATAGTTAGTTTAGTTATTCCACTCATCAGAATAACAGGCCATGTTACACACTCACAGGTACACATATATACATTTTTTAGAACTCAGCAATTTACCAATGGACTAGGTGTCACAACTGTGTAATGTTAGGAAGCAGGTATCAATATGACTCATTTTGAAAAGTATGTATTAAAACACAATTTTGGGAGGCACCTGGGTGGCTCACTCAGTTAAGCATCTGCCTTCAGCTCAGGTCATGATCTCAGGGTCCTGGGATCGAGCCCCACATGGGGCTCTCTGCTCAGCGGGGAGCCTGCTTCTCCCTCTCCCTCTGCCTGCCACTCCCCCCTGCTTGTGCTCTCTCTCTCACTCACTCTCTCTGCCAAATAAACAAATAAATAAATCTTTAAAAAAAAAAAACCCACAATTTTGGAATCCTCAAATTATGCCTATCAGATGCGTGTATCTTCATTCTAGGTGATGACACTAAAAGAATAATAAAGGTGCCTCAGATACAAAGAAGAATATAATTCTTTCCCAATTCTACCTTCTGACCTACCCCATAATGTAAAGAGAAAATGCTGTCTCTAAAGATGGTCTGAAGAGAAAATTCCATTTAGGAGATGGTTTCTAGGACTTCTGGGGAACCCAGGAGACATGACAAACTTCCCCAAAATTTAGTCACACTTAAACAATGAGCTCAGAGACTGCTTCAAATATTGAACTAAATACTGAATTATGTGATACCATTATCAGATCATCTCTTCTCTACCTGGGAGTAATTATTTTAAGTAGAACATAAGCAGAAGTGAAAGAAAAAATAGTGAAAATCAGACAAAATATTTTAAAGAATAGATGATTTAAGAAGTAACATGTAAAACTAATCATGATTTTACTACTAAAATATTATATTAGAACTAATAAGATCATTTCTTCCTATATCCAAAGAAACTTTAATTAACCACTAAAAAGTCAAAAATTATAAATAACTTAATTTTTTTCTTCATTTTACTTTCTAAAATATGAATTTTTTTGTAGTTGCAATATGTTGATCTTTTCTTAAGAAAACCAGGAAGACATAGGCTCTCCCTTTTGTCTTATTTGCTCTCTACCATTTTTTTTAAGTGAGAGAGAGAGAGAGCACAAGCAGGGGGTTGGGGGGGCAGGGGAAGGAGCAGAGAGAGAGGGAGAGAATCTTAAGCAGGTTGCACACCCAGCATGGAACCCGCCGTGGGGCTTGATTTCACCACCCTGAGATCATGACCTGGGCTGAAATTAAGAGTCAGATGTTTAACCAACCAATCCACCCAGGCGCCCCTGCTTCTTATCATTTTTAACATAATTTATTTCAGATTTAATGGTTTCATATTTCCTTTTTCCCAACTTTCTTCGGACACTTTCTGCATTACACTTAGGACATCAAAGTCAGACAGGCTGGTTCCTTCAAAATTAGAGTCCCAGCATTTGGTCTTGACTTAAACACTACTTTAAGAGTGCCTTGTCTCCTTACCATGCAATGCAAGGGGAAGCCCGGTGCTTTATCTACTCTCTGGCAAGTAATGAGATCATTCCAGAGTTTGTCTCTCATCTTTCCCTCCCTCTGCACAGGGGGCTGACTACATTCAGGATATGTTCATTTCTTATAATTCTAAATATATGAATTTAAAAAGTGATTTATAGTGCAAGGAGAAGAACTATAATTCTTTTGCCTGAGTTTACACATTCCATATATGTAGTCACCTGAAATTCTCTTGAAAATCTTTAATGATTCCACACACCATCACGTTCTCATGTACTTAAAGGCATAGGAGATCATTAAAGATTTTCAGAGAAATTTAAGAAGTAGTGAGGAGTTAGTCAAAGCAAGAAGGGCCATAAAGAAGGCAAGAGATGTTTAAGGGGTTTGGAAAAGGAAGCAAGCAGGGTATCACCCCACATTGCCAGGATGAGAAAAATGAGGCAGGACAGGAAAACCAAGGGATTGCAAAAGAGGGAACACAGAGGGGGAATGCCCACTGTACACCCCTTAGTGGGGACAACCGTCCTAAGCCTTCACTGGAGTGGTTAGTAGCAACCCCCCATCGCTGATGCCTCTGAAGCATTCATTTCTACTGGACAACTTAAAAAGAAATCAAGTCGTCCTGCCACTCCAGAGAATGGCAGTTCTTGTTCTTGGTCACAAGGAGCGCTGATGGCAGGAGTGGGAATGGAGGGAGAGTGAGGGAGAGAAAGGTGAGAGCAGGGTGGAGCCTGAGCAAAGGAACATGCAACTTGCACTACATTAATGCTTATGTAATGTGTACTATAGGCATAAACCGCAAACTGTATACACTATGCACTAATGAGTTTCTGGAAAAATCATACTATAAAACCTTTTCAATATTAAAACATCTTTGTTCTTCCTTGAGTTTTTGAAATTTTTCAAGTTTCTCAAAATGCATGCGGACAAGATCTTCTTTCATGTGTTTATATTTTTCTTGAAACCTGTGTGTAACCCGCATCAGATTGAAATCAGTTTGAAATCAGTGGTATCAGGTTTGTAAGTCTCTAAATGGAGAAAGCAGTTCAAAATATTTCATTATTAGAAAATAAAATGTATATTGTCATTAAAAGCAGACATAAAATTTGTCTTCAAAATAAAATTTCTATGAATTACTGTTGTTGATGGTTAAAATAAATTCAAGCCCCATACTAGTCACTCATATCTTTAATTTACATGAAAACAATAAAAACATGATTTGAATCCTTTCTTATAAAATAGTTTCGTATATACTTTTACATTTTTTTGCCCTGAGTTTAATTTTTATTTTTTTCTTGGGTTTAATTTTTAATGAATGGTATTTGAATTCTTAGAGAAGTACATTTTCACAAAAATAATTTTATAAAACCAATCCAACATACAAGAGATAATATAAGAGCCAGATTCCTTCTATAACTTAAGCTACATCCTAGTAAAAAGTGAAGAAACATTAAAACTTCCAGGCCACTGGAAATGAGAGTCTAACGGTATAAGAAAATGAACTTCAAAGATGATTATAAAATGGGGCACAGAGCAACATGGCTAATGGATTTAACTAAAACTTGTATATCTAAAAGTAATCTCCTTAAAAGCTGAAAGACTTACTAAATTTTTTGTTCAAATGGAACTGTTGCTCAAACCATTTTTGGTTCTTGTCTTCTAAAGCCACCTCAGCAGATACAGGCACTTACTCAGAAGATCATTTAAGGACCTTTCAGATGACTTTGAGCCCTTACTCACCTTCCTGCTCTTCTCATCATTAAAGATGGCCTGGCCTCCATCTTCACAGAGGCAACAAAAGATGTAAGGTCTTTGAACATCCTACTCCTCTACTTCAACACATATCTATATCTTCGGCTTAATTATTATCCTCCCCCAACCCAGGAAATACCCACTGAGATATGGTGTAGCCTACGGTTAAGTGCGTGGCTCCAGAGTCACTCTGCCTAGGTTTGTTGCAACTTTACCACCTATTAGCTGCATTAAGTTGAGCAAGTTACATAACTCTTCTGCACCTCAGTTTCATTATCTGTAAAATGGGAATAATAAAAGATAGGTATCTTATAAGGCTATTGTGAAGATCAAAGGAGATAATATATATACACTACCTGGAACAGGGCTTTGCACCTCACTACGTACAACCAATAAATTTGAGTCATAACTATTATTATGTAAGACACCTGCATTTTCCTCCATCTGGTATCAAAGAAAAAGGCATGCCTAGTTCTTTCCTAAGATACCTCCTCCTCCACCTGGACCATCAGCTGCATCCTCCTTTCTTCTCCCGAGGACCTTGTTCCACTTGGCTCTCACACCAGTCATCTCCTGCCACTGGTTCTTTTTCTCAACCAGCCAGTTGTCCCAGTCTCTATGTCCATAAAGGGAACAAATAACTGCACACTTCTCATGAACTTCTCTCTTGCAGCCACTGTTCTTACCTCCACATTCCTTGAATAAACAGTCTATGCTCCTGGCTGCCTCATCTCAATTTAGTCTTCACCTCACCACGTTCCACACTACTCCACTGAAATATTTTTCTCTCCTGAGTATGGAAGCTCTAAGGGGGTGGGGACTTTTCTTGTGTTGATTGTTGTGCAAATGCCTGACATACAATAGGAGCCCAATAAATATTTGTTCAACAAATGAATGATTGACTCTGGAAGGTCACCATGGCCAACATTAAACACAACGGTTTCTTGTTGGCCTCAACTACACAGCTCTTTACTGCACTTGCTCCTGTTGACTGTTTTACACTTTACAAAGAATTTTCTCGTATATTGTTTCCTTAAAACTATATATTAAAAAAAAAAGCCTAACCCTAGGGCAGGTAGAGATAATCAATCTTGTTTCAGCATCTGGGAAAATGGAGGCTGAGAGTGTTCCAGGGATTGGCCCAAAGTTACTCAGCTTTGCAAGTGAAGGAGGCAGAAGGCAAGACCGAGTTCTTTGGCTGTAAGCCTAATCTGATTTCCAGCTCTCTGTGGGTGCTGAGCTCCTTCTGCCACCAGGCTCGTAAGGACATCCACTAAGAATAGACAAATCTGAAAGTGGAGATGGCCCTCACATCTATTATGTCATCGTGTCTTCAGAAGTTCAATTTAAACATTTAATTATTTCCATTTCTACTTAATGCATTGGATCAGTGCAGCACTCCCCTTTATCCTAGAGGCCTGGAAAAGTTAATGCACTTCATTTGCCATAAGGAAATAACAACAGGAATTGGAGAGAACTGTCAACTAAAAAGTTGTACTAATCAGTCAAAACACACTTGATGAGTATTTGCAACGTTCAAAGCATTGTACCAGGCATATTCCTTGAACTGGAGGGACTAAAAATCTTGTGAGGCCACATGACAGATAAATCATGAGAGTTAGCCACTCTGAGCAGCAGGAGGCTATCACCAGAGAGCGAGAACTACCTGTGCCCTAGGAGTTCCACAGGAAGAATCCATGTGTGCTGGGAAGGTTGCACAGCAGCGGATGGAGAAAAGTTTGTGGGAAGAGGAGAGATGAGAAGTGTGAGCTTGGGTGAAAGGGAGGGAAGAGCAGAAATATACAAGAGCTATTCAAGGACAGGCTGAGGATCAGTGTAGAAAAAACAAAGACTCAGGCGCCTGGGTGGCTCAGTCGGTTAAGTGTCTGCCTTCAGCTCAGGTCATGATCCTCAGGGTCCTGGGGTCGAGTCCTGCATCTCCCTCTGTTTGTGCTCTCTCTCTGACAAATAAATAAATAAAATCTTAAAAAAAAAAAAAGAAAGAAAAAACAGACTTTATCCTGAGGACTATGAAGAAACACAGAAAGACAGATCGAGCCCGTTTAGTGAAAGATCTTGAATGTCAGTCCAGGTTGGAGAGAGGATATAGGCAAAATGGAAGGTTTCTGAGCAAAAGAACCCCATGCAAGTGGAATTTAGGAAAGATTCATCTAGCAGTCGATTAAGCTCTGGCAGGAAGCCGGAAGCCCGAGAGACATGTTAGGAGGTTGCTGCAGTAGTTCATGCAGGGATCTCAGCAGACAGGACAGGGCCAGAAATGGAAAGAGAGGAGCAAGGCATAAAAACACTGCAGATTAGGAACAAACAGAATTTGAGAAACTATTGGTAATGTGGATAGGATGGAGGGAGACATCAAAAATGGGTAAATGAATTGAAAATATTAATACAAAACAAAATCTAAGTATGGCCAAGAACATCCAGAAGGGATGCCATAGCTACCCAATGGGGCTTCTTTGAGAAGGCAAAGTCACTGTCATTTTTCTTTCCCGGGTCTTAACACTGTGATATGCTTCTGTCTCTTTGTGTACTTACATCTCGAAAAGCCTCACTTTTCATGCTTTGCTGTCTGATGTTTGCCGGGGGTTGCATGGATTGTATTTCCACTCCAGTCAGTCCACTTTTCTTCTTTTTCTGAAGAACAATGTACAACTGATACAAAAGTTTTGTTGCCGCCCCAGGCTTTTCCGTGATGATGTTGTGGGCCACATTCTGATCAAACTGCACACCCAGAAGGTGAAGTGTTGGCTCCAGGCGAGAAAAATTATTAAGTTTGGCATTTGAAACTCTAGGCATTAAAACAGTTTCCATAATTAGACACTGCCACTGAATTAAAAACAAACAACAAATATCAGAGGCATTATCATGATTTACTATTATGAATTATTCCATGTTCTTTTCAATATACCATTCCTCTCTAAAACCACTCAGGCATGTAAATACATTGAGATTTTCTACTATCCTGAACTCCACCCATTTATTTCTCTTGAATGGTGAAACTAAAACTCATTTTATACATTTTTCTGCTTAAATACATGCTAGAATTTTTATAAGAGGTCAATACAAAAACAGATAACTAAGTGCCTTCTTCTAAACAGAAAAACAACTATGGTTTTGAAAAATATTTTACTCAGAAGGCAAACTGTAATTTAAATTTCCATTTCTTTAAATGACATTATTACTGGAGTCTGAAAATAGCCCTAAATGTTGCACTGACAACTTTAACAATGATCCTCTCAGGCACCGTCAGAAATATTTAATTAAATAATATTAGCTAGGCAATCACACGAATTCTGTAATCTTCAGTTTAAAGTTGATATTACTACTTTAAGAATCAGTAAAGACTTTCTAATTTTAAGTTATTTTTGAGTCACCTATGAAATTTTAATAAGTTTATTAAAGTCTTACAAAGATGAATAGGATGCAGTCCCTGCCCTTGCAGGGTTCACAGCAGGAAAAACAGATGAGTAAACAAGAAGTGGTAAACTGAGGTAAGTGTTGGAATACAGGTCTCAAATGATCTAGGGCTGTTAATAAGTTTATGAATCCAGTGACAGAAGGAAAATGTTGGATGCATTTTCAATTCTTGTGCCTTTCCGTGTTCCAACTAGAAGCAAATATCAATTTTAACCACTGGCCTATTTCCTCCTTACTTTAACTTCCTAACATTCAGTGTCATTCTTTCACGGAAAAAATATACTGAATATACTCGAATATAAGTGAAAGTCCCACTACACGCCCCTCCCCAAAAAAACCATACTTTAGAAAAGAGGGGTTTGGCCCATATTGGGCAGAATTTCTGATAATAGGGTTATTCATTTGGTAACTTCATTTTGAACTGTAAAATTATTTGGGGAAGATATGATGATCTTCATGACCTCAGTTAAGTTTTTAGATGTTTATAGAGATTGTTTCACACTTAAACTTTATATACTGTTGCTAGTATACTGTTTCTCAAGAGGCTGCTGTTTTTGTTTTTTGTTTTGTTACCACAGATACCACTGAAAATCTGATGAGAGCCATGGAACCTGGTCCACAGGAAAGAAAACACACACCCGGGCAGAGACACAAAATATGTAGGTCATTTTCAGATGTTTGTGAACCTCCTAAAATCTACCCTAAAAGTGCCCATTCACCACAAACTAAAACCCATGGTGCAAAAGGAGGTGGGCCTGTGGGACTATATGAATGATTTCTAAACATGAATGAGGAGTCAATATCATGGGAAGGCCAATGTCAACAAAAATAATGATGCAACAACTTGAATTCCTCTTCCAGGTATGTGGTCTAATTTACTTCCTATTTCCTCTGTTTACTGTTATTGTTTTAACAGAAATATTTGGTAAAGTGTACCTGGCATATCAAACTACATCAGTAAACTCTGAATAAAATATTTTAAATTAATTAAAAAAAGAAGCAGGTCTCAGAGGGGAATGAGAAGAAATAATAAATGCTACAGGAAATCTCACAACAAGAGTAAACATTTTTTTAGGTTTTCTTATGTCCAGGTTTGCAGTTTGTTCTCCCACAAGTGACCTTGCAGTTTGACATAACACACATCTGCCTAAAATGTGGGGGATAAAGCAGACCATGTTTGAAAAGTACAGCTCTGAAAGACCAGTGAGATCCATGACTTGTGCTTGCCTTCCCTGGATAGGCACCTGACACCCCGTCTTGCTCTTCCATCACAGGTATTCTTTCACGCCTTCCCTATCCTCAAAGTCCTGTGTCTTGCCCACCACACATATTTGGACAGACGGCCAGAGAGCCGCTTGTCAGAGCTTTGGCCTGGGTCATAACCTTGGGCTACAGAGATGAGGGGCGTCAAAATGCTGGAGGGAAAATCCAAAAGCAAACACTATCTATTTCCAGATGTTATCAGAACCTAGCCCTGCACCCAATAAAAATGGAGAACACTTCCTCTCCTCTTACTTGTTTTTACACAGCCCCAAGAATGCAGTGTGAGCCTGTTAGTATGAGGGATCAGCCACACATTAGGCTTTAAAATGGCTGTTAAGAACTGGCTGAAGTACCAGGTATAACAGTACTTCTCTCTGCAGGTTTTTAATATATATTCCATATTTCTAAGCTATCAAAATTGTAAGAATGTAACTGGTGTGTAAATTGGTGGAAGTCCACTCTTGTCATAGCAGGTGCCCCATCAGTATAGCATGATAATCAACAGTTGTTTTTGTATCTGGAGAAACCATGAGGACATCTTTGCTCTGGAGACAGAGTACGGGATGTAAATAATAACCTCTGCGGGAATAAGGAACACATTCTGGGAGAAGTCTTCTCCTCCTTTATGTGCAGTGTTTGTTTGTTTTTTAGCATTTGATGACTCATTTTTCTTATAGCAAATTCCCAGATTTTGTGTGTATGTTGCACAGAGGGTAGTGAGTGGGCAAGGGGAGAGGAAGGGGGTTGTCTTTTTTTTTTTTCTTTCTTTGTTGACTGGCCAAAAACATGCCACTGGTAATTTGAGCGTGGAAAGATTTTCCCTTTTATAAAAGGTGGAAGGAAAATAATCAAGAACAAAAAATCTCATTTGAGGCAAATCCCATCCACTGTATTATTTTTCTCACGGGCAAGCAATGCTATTTGTAGTATATAACATAAAAAACAAATTAATAAGTTCATGGTAACTGATGTGACATGTTTGTTCATGATGATTTTTAGCATTGTATTCATTGTGTCTCACATTTTGGTTGCCACAATTCTTAGCTCATTAGTTTTTATTTTTTGTTTATTCCTATTCTAGGACTTAGAGGAAAAATCCTATTTTCTTGTGATTTTTCTAAGACATAAAACATTCTTAGGATTATTTTATTATTTTAAGATTTATTTATTTATTTGAGAAAGAGAGAGAGCGTGTGCGAGTGCACAGGGGGGAGGGGCAAAGGGAGAGGGAGAATCCCAAGCAGACTCCCCACCGAGCACAGTGTGGGGCTGTATCCCATGATCACGAGATCAAAACCTGAGCCAAAATCAAGAGTTGGACACTTAACTGACTGAGTCACCCAGGCGCTCCCATTCTTAGGAGTACTTAAATTATTTTAAGTATCTGATACTTGTAGTTTTTATTTGCCCAGAGATTACCTATCTTCTCTCCTCCTTGCCACCTGCTGAGGGAACACATCTTACAAGGTAAGTAGAAGCTGTCCCCCCAGGAATATCCATGCTCCTTTACTTTTTATTCTTTTATCCTATTATTCTCTAAGGCAAATAACTTCAGTTACAAGCAACGTTTATATTTTAGACTAAAAAAACTAAAACTATTAGACAAAATCCCCAAATCATGAGCCCTAGCATTAGACATCTGCCTAAAAAATAGCTTTGACAAAGAAGGATCCTTTTCCCCACAAAGTACACTACTACAAAGGTGATATCCGTGGATTTACTGATCCTTCTTTAAAAGACCATGTGCCCCTGGAAAAATAGTGTGTTGTTCCAAGAATTCAAGATGAATGGAATTTGGTTGTCAGAACAAGTAGGTCCCTCTTCTCACATTAAGAAATGCAGTGACTCTCAGTGGGATAGAAAGTTAGTTCTTTGCACTGGGTGAAAAGCAGGGCTGTTGCACATGATGTTAGTCAGGGCACACCCCTGTGCAAAGGTGGGGCAAGAGTGTGAAGCTGCCTTGTGCTCAGCTTGCCACGCCTTATGCCTGATGCGAGGCCGTTTCATACAAAAAGGGGTTCCTCTCCTTAGCACAAAGGCCTCTCTGTTTACTGAGCCCTGTGTCTTCACAGCTGTGTCCATCCAGATGAGGTCCCTTTTTCCATTTAACACAAAGGGTCTCTATGGCCCTGCTGACAAAAGTTAATTTAGTATACCTGAAATACTACATACATCATCTGGTCAGAATGGTGCTTTAAGTTTCCTAAACAGGTATACTTTCTGACATCATTCATTTATTCAATAAAGAAACATAACTGTGTGTCAGCTATAGGCCAGGGACAATGCTTGGAGCACAAGGAATCCACACACAAACATACTCCGCAACTTTCAAGAACTGTAATTTAAAACAACGAGATACCACTATACTCCTATTAGAATGGCCAAAATCCAAAACACTGACAACACTAAAAGCTGGCGAGGACGTGAAGCAATAAGAACTCTCATTCATTGCTGGGAGGAATGCAAAATGGTACAGCCACTTTGGAAGACAGTTTGGTGGTTTCCCTACAAAACTAAATATACTTTTACCATATGATCCAACAATTGTGCCCCCTGTTATTTACCCAAAGGACCTGAAATTTTATGTCCATACAAAACCTGCACATGGATGTTTACAGCAGCTTTATGTATGATTGCCAGAACTTGGAAGCAACCAAGATGTCCTTCAGCATGTGAATGGATAAATAAACTGTGGTACATCCAGGCAATGAAATACTTTTCAGTGCTAAAAAGAAATGAGCTACCAAGCCATGAGAAGCCATGGAGGAAATTTAAATGCATATTTCTAAGTGAAAGAAGCCAGAAGTTCCAACTATATGACATTCTAGAAGAGGCAAAACTATGAAGATAGTAAAAAAAAAAAAAAAATCAGTGGTTGCCAGGGTTGAGGTAAGGGAGGATGACTGATGGAGCATAGAGGATTTAGGACAGTGAAAATACTATGTATGATACTGTAATGGTAGATACAAGTCATTCTACATTTGTCCAAACCCATAGAATGTACAACCCTAAGAATGAACCCTAATGTAAACTATTTACTTTGAGTAAACATGTATCATTATAGGTTCATCAGCTGTAACAAATGCACCACTCTGGTTGGGGAGTGGATACTGGAGGAGGCTATGAATGTGTCAGGGCAGGGGGTTAATAGGGAATCTCTGTGCTTTCTTCTCAATTTTTCTGTCAATATGAAACTGCTTTAAAAAATAAAATTTAAAAGAAAATAGGCAAGGATTGCATAACATTTCCCCAGTGAAACTATACAAATGACTAATAAGCACACGAAAAGATGCTTACCATCATTACTCATTCGGGACATGCAAATCAAAATCACAAGAGATACTGCCTCATGCTGACTAGACAACTATAATCAAAAAGACCATAACAAGTATTGATGAGGATGTGGAAAAATGAAACCTTACATTACTAGCATGAATGTAAATGATAATGGGCACTTTGGAAAGCAATTTGGGTGTTCCTCAAAATTGTAAACATAGATCATGTAACCCAACAATTTAACTCCTAGGTATACACCCAAGATGAATGAAAACATTTCCATGTAAAAACACAATGTTCATAGCAGTGCTGTTCATAATAACCAATAACTCGTATCCACCAATTAATGAATTGATAAATGAAATGTGATATATCCAATTGAAAGTATTCAGCAAATAAATAGGAATTAAGAAGTACTAATACATGCTATAATATGGATAAGCCTTGAAAACATTATCTTAAGTGGAACTAATCACAAAATACACATATTGTACGATCCCACTGATATGAAATGTGTAAAATAGGCAAATCCATAGAGACAGAAAATAGATAAGTGGGTACCAGGGACCAGATGGTTAGTGGTGATGGTTGTGAATATACTAAATATGTAAATATGTTTAAAACCACTGAACTGTATGCTTTAAACTGGTAAATCATGGTCTGTGAATTAGATCTCAACATAGCTGCTATAAACAAAAAATATTACAGGGTTTTTTTTTGGTTTTTTTTTTTTTTTGGTTTTTTTTTGGCCAGGATACAGTAAGTTGCTTCATTTCTCTTAAAAGAAAGAAGAACCAATTAACAAAGTTATAGCTCACTATCCTTTAACTTTGGGAACTAAAGCCATCCAAATGCCAAAGGAATTGACCCTTTTTAGGAAAGAATTTATCTCACTAACCTGCTTTCTGAAAATTCTGAAAAATCACCCTGAAGTTCAAACTTGTGCAGAATTTCTCCAATTAGATAACCACTGGAAAATGACTTTGCAAATGACTTGGGACCTGAATTTTGAAACATAAAAATAAAGAAGTAAATTATAATGTTCCATATAGAGCACGATTATTTTCATTTTATATGCATAGAGTAAAACTCCATACCATAACTTGAACTCAAAATGCCATGAAAATACTTCTAGAAACATCCTTTAATAATCAAATAAAAAGACTGAAGTTTAATAGATGATGTCTTATAAAGATCCTTAAATAAATATAAATTGATACGTGAAGATACAAGAAATTTTGAAAGAAACACAACTTTGACCAAATTAAACAAAATACAACCAATAAAATTTATCTAAACAACCTTAGATCTAAAGTCAAGCCTTCAATTTATTTTACAAAATTACACTCTAATACCTTAGTTATCAATACAATCTATGGATGATGATAGCATATTCTAGCCAAGCGAGGTGCAATCTAACTTTAGTAAACTTTAAGACTTTATTTTAACCTTTTTACAGTGGAAATTTTACAAAAACCATCTATCTGCACCTTCTCAAAAACAAACAAACAAACAAAAAAAACCTACTGAGCATAATCAGGCTTTCCCTTGGTAGTTCCAGAGGTTACTCTGATCTAGTTGTTGTCCCGTGCAATGACAGCGATAGCCCAGAGGAAAATAGAGTTTGGAGCCAGGGACATCTGCATTGGAATCTTGACTCTGCCCCTTACTAGTTGTGCAACCTCTGGCAAGCTGCTAACCTCCCTCAGTTCCTGTCTCCTCATCTCTACGAGATAACCATATCTCTACCTCTCCTGAAGAGCTATTTTCAAGATTAGAGGTAATGTATGGGAATTGCTTGGTACCACGCCTGCCACAGAGGAAGCACATAATGACAGTGCAGAAAAAAATGTGTTAATAAAATTTGCTTTTTAAAAAATGTCCTTAGTGGTGGGTCACTTCTATTTTTCTTATAAAGTGAAGAATATCAGGTTACATGTTATTCAAGGATGATATGCAAAGTTGATACACAAAATAAATTATGCTATCATTTCTCAAATGATTTCAAAATCCTCCCAAAACCTTCAACTTGTTTCTATCAGGGTCTTTTAGGCAACAGCAGTCCAAGCACTAAATATCACTGAGGTATGGCAAGCTCATTTATACCAGATTGTTCTCTTTTATCTCTTTGACCAGTAATAAGGTGGCTAATTGATTATGAAGAAATAACATCTTTTCCTGATTTGTAGAAATGGAACTTGGTGTGTGGTTCCGGGGGTGGTGACGTGAGTCGCTCCACAAGGCCACTGCCCAGAGGCCTTACTCAGCATACTACACGTTCTCATAAGAACAAAACTCTTGCATATCCGACACCAGCCCACAATTTTGCCCAAAGCTCTCCTAATATTTGTTCTCAAAATATTTTATACTCTTAATAATACCCCAATTCTCAGGTTGAATCAATATATAATAAAGTAGTTAAAAATGATGTCAACTGGGCGCCTGGGTGGCTCAGTCGGTTAAGCGTCTGCCTTCGGCTCAGGTCATGATCCCAGGGTCCTGGGATTGAGCCCCGCATCGGGCTCC